TGCGAACGCACGTCGCCCGTCGGCTGATTACGCTCTCCGCTGTTACTGTCATTCATTTGCGTCTACAGCGCCCCACTCAATCTCTTTCATTATGAACGCGCTGCGAGCCTGTGAGCGGGCTGTCCCACTACTCACATTTTACATTTTGTACATTTCGCTCCATCAAATACTTTTTATTTAGGTAATTAAGTGACAAACTTTGTTATTATTTTTATCTACAACATATTTATATGCTAAGGTTCGAAAGGGCTTCACTAAACTTAGTTTTTCTATACCATTTGAACCGATTCGGACCGGTAGATTTTAAGAAATAAAAAAAAAAATTTTTTTTTATTTATCTTTTAAATAATTGTAAATCTAATCAGCTCTTAAACTCAAAGAACGCCGTCGATTGCTGCTAAACGCATCAAAATCGGTTGATGCGTTGAAGAGAAATCGTTAACGAAAAATTTCGAAAAAAATATTTTTTTCTAATAACTTTGAAATTTCTTCTCAGAACGTTTTTGATGTAATAAATTAACTATGAGTGCTTAAAAAAACTGCGTCGAACTACAAATTTGAAAAAAAAGCGTGGTTTTTCAAAATTATGACTTTTTTGAGCTCAGAGAGTAATAGGTGAAATTTGGAGCGCTTTGCATTTGAAATTAGCAGGAAGTTCCAGGGATGGCCTGTAGGGTCAACCGTATTTTTTAGTTAACTAGGTACTATAAAAGTATTTTTTTTAATTTCCAATCAAAATTTAAAGGACATAACGAATTTCAATCATGTTTTCCGAAACTTTTCAAAAACAACAAATAAAGTTTCTTAAAAATATAAATCCAATGTAAGTAACAACAATTATTTTGCAAGTATGTAAGAAAACTCGCACCTCGTAACCATCCCGCACTATAACGTAGGTTAGAAATTACCCGTGGAGTGTAAATACGACGTGAGTAAACTCGAGTACTGCAAAAAGGTCCCCATTATTACGAAACATGTTTTATCAGTAACATATGCACACATTATACTACGTAGAAAGGGTGTCATAAGACAAGAATGCGTATGAAAGGCTTTTACTTTTACAAATTTACTAAAACAAGAGTAAACTTTGCTTGACTATACGAATGTGGACGACAAAAGAATTTGCATTATAAAATAGTGTGAAAGATTTATAATGGACTGGTTTGTGTGATGCTAATTAAATATACCATTAAGAAAAACTACCGACAAAAATTTGCAAACTAACCAAATTATTAAAACTTTCAACTCTTTATTTGTAAAATGGCTTTTGATTAGATCACACATAATAAGAATAGTGAACTCTCTAGTACTGTAATGTATAATGTGTTTTAGGATATAATAATAACAAAAAGTACTTCATTTCGAACAATTGTAATTTATAAAAATGTTAGTAATAGGTACTTAGACTATGTTAGAGATATCATAAAAAAAACATTCGCAGAGAATGATCAAGGAATATAGACCTAATAATGCATTCCTATTTCTTAGCAGAAACTATAAATTAGCATATATAAGCGATAACTTTTTATTATTACTGAAACTTTCATATTATTAAAATTCTCATTTTATAAAGACAGCAAATACTATAATAATTTACGCACTGTCCTATAGTATACAAGTAGTCCTATAGTATATAAGTATACACGGGTACCCTTATAATTTTAACACTTTGACAGTGTATTTGTGCACAATAAGAAAACGTTCGACCCCTCGTTCCACAAATTTCTTCTATGAATATTATGTCAAATCAACGTTTCCCACTATACTTGAGTTTAGGGCTGTCATTTCTTAGAAATATAGCTAAGACAAAAAACTTTAAAATTAAATTCACCTTGCAATTAACGCAATTTATCATAAATTTTTAAAATATGTCACAACGTGTCACATATAGGGACGTACGAATACCTATTTACATATAATATTTATTTATTTTAATATCTATTTTATATTTCGAAACACTCAAAAAAATAAATAATATTTTTTATAGTTACGAGAAGCGTGTGCATTCTTCAGTAAAAAATTACAATTTTTTATATTTACCTAATATTACTAAAATTAAAAAAAATATTACGTTGCCCTTATCAATATACTATTTCGACGTAATTGAATTACATATACAGTGTCATAATCATAAACAATTAAAAGGCAAATCTTTAATAGAACATTATTGATTATTTAATGAACAATAACTATTAAACCTTAAATCAATATTAATTAGAATAATATACAAATTAGAATAATTTCAATTCGAGCATACAATATGACATTTCGTTAAATTATTCCCAACATAAATACAGGGGTGCTGTGATAGGGTTGTGACGCATAGGCTGCATTATCGAAGTCCCCTTCACGCGGTGCCAGTTCGGTACATTCATTACAAAAAGCGACACGTAGCACGCACTGGTTTAATAATTCCACTCGTTCCTCCCCCGGTCGAGCCCGTAGACAATGCTTAACGGTATCAATCAACATCAAACAACCCCGCTCTATCTCTGCGTTTGTCTTTAGGGTTGATAGTTGAGATTCTAAGTTCTACTAGCCTTTTGCTTTATTCCTTATTTTTTAAATGAAGTTACTATTCAAGCATTCTAAAAAGTATATTTAGATACAGTTTGGTGTAAACATATAAATTTATTTTTATTCGAATCTATATTCGTAGTTATTATATTACGGCATACAAACAGGTTCAAGCAGTTTCACCTGGTCCTACGCTATTTTAATAAATATAGTAATTTTAGGAAAATATGAATCAATAGATACAGATGGTTTAGGACCGTGTTTTGTGGCATTACTAGGTAAAGACCTATGTTCAGCGATGGATATGTGATGGGCTGTAGAGATGATGATGATGATGATGTATAAATTTTATTTAAAAATAGCTCGGAGCCTCGCCTTATATTAAAATTTATGTATGTGATAATTTTGAATTGTTGGAAATATCCTAGTATAAACTTTTTAAAAACCCACCTATTTCGATTAGTGAAAATTACATTTATTTTATTAAATGCACTGTGCATTGTTTAAAAGCACTTTATCCAGCAGTATGTTCATTATATGCTGGAGGGATTAAAAAAATCAAGAGTATAGGAAGCATGCAAGGAAATCGATGGATGATACTGGTGAAAACCATGATTTGTGGCAAAAAAACAACACAAAGTATGCTCTTTTTTATATTCATCAGCCCTAAAACCCTCACCCCGATTGTCACTAACAGTTCTTTTTATCGTGCACTTTTTAATGCATACACGGTCCATCGATACCCGGACGCCGCGGGCTGTGTGCCCTTCTAAATTCATACGTTGCTTTGATCTGCACTCTGTGAGAGACGTAGGTATATTTAATCACCTTCAATACAAACTTATCTGATTAAATAACGTACGGGGGTTATTTAAAATACAAAAGTTTTATAATGATAAATATTTATACAAATTTTCAAAGGTTAGTTAATTATAAAACGTATGCAATTCTCAAACGGCAAGGAAAATTTTATGGAAATAAATACATACTTTGTTTACTGAAAGTAATATAGACACAATAAATCTATGAAATAATATAAGTGCGGTTGCTACCGCAGTTTTTTTGCCTGCCTACGAAGTGTGGCTAATATCCCCGATATGAGGCAATTCATAAGGAAAACCTATGTTCAGCGGTGGACTTTTGAAAGGCCATAAATAATGAATGAATGAATAAATCTATGACATGTGTATAAAACGATAATTCTAACAGTAGTGTAATTTCATCCACAAAAACAAAGTTTTGCTGCATAAATTGCAATCACATGAAATTTTAGTACATAACCTTTGTTAGATGTTGCATAAAATAATTTACACACTCAAAGAATGTATCTATTTTGTTTGGTTGAACAGAAATTGACTTATATTTTTCACATAGAAACGGTAGCGAGCTATAAATAAAATTATTCACACTTACGCCCACAAACGTTATTTATAGGGCTTTATAAAGGACTTACGTTGAAAGTTGAAACTGTGTCAGATAAACTTGTATTTTGTGTCCTAGCAAAGTTATAATGATACTGATTTATTAATTATATTAGTCGTAAGAATAAATGATTACTAATTAAGAATTAACGAGCATGTTAAGAACATAGCAAATCCAGAGAGAGAATGAGGATAATTGGATGTTCGCTAGCACGCCAGAATAAATGATGATTTAAACACAACCCAAGTCTGAATCTATAACCAATTAGAGATTATAAGGGCTAGTCCAGTTGTCTTGAATAAGCTACACCATAGGAAATAAAAATGTTATCTATACCACAGGCAAGGTTCTTGGAATATCAATCCAAGTAGACTTCCTTGTGAATGAATTATGTGCGCAAGCCGGTTCTCTAGATGAAACTCCTCATCACAATTTTCGTCTTACACATACTTTCACTTGCTTTAATGAAGACAAACGTTTAGGCTATATGGTCGCTACACCGTTAAGATAATAACACCAATTCATATTCACCGTTCGGATACGCCGTGCGTTCTACGGCCGTGTGAACCAAACGTTACCGGACATTGGCACTAGTCATGCAACTTTGAGGCATTTTAACTAATATTTAATTGATGAAACTGAATAAAGTCGCACTTCCGACCAAATTTAGACTATTTTAACGAATAAATTAACATAAATACTATTGCAGTTAAATTTGCAGGAATTTCAACGCATATGTTATGTTATTCGTACAGCTTAATGTAGTTAAACTAAACTATAAAGACGCCATTTGTAAAGTCCGGCACAAAATAAATTTTTGTGTCGTTCGTAAACTATATAAAGTAGCAGCTTTCGCCAGTTCTCTCCATCCTCCCTAGCGAGCAATTCGTATCCTAACCAAACTTGTAAACATCTCAACAAGAAGCACTTCAGAATATAAAGCAAGATAAAACGCAAGTAAGTCTTCCCATAATGTTGATGGAAATACTGTGTAATATATTTTTGTGACAAAAATATTAAATACTGCAAAAATCAATATGCGTACTGATCTATGGACTTACCGAATCAGGATCATGCGCATTGGGCGTGGACGGTTGAGGAGGTCTCGGCGGTTGCGGGTAGCCCTGCGAACAAATATTTTCTTTAAATAAGTTACATTGTTAATGTCCATATTATATACCAAATCTAGTTTTGCTGAGATGAAGTTTATCAAATGAGAAAACAGATCCTTCCACTCCTCATTATTTAAAAGACCGTTTCCAGTATCTTTCCCTTACCCATAATCGGTTCCTTCGATCCTCCGTCAATCTTTCTCTCTCTACTCCTTCGCACTCTTCCTCCTTTTTTAAGAAATCCTTTACTGTAACTGCTGTACGTTTGTGGAACTCTTTACCTCTCCACATTCGTCGTGCTCAATCTCTACATTCTTTCAAATGTCTTGTTAAATCGTATTACTTAGAACGCTATTAGATAAATCACTTTTCCTTTTTCGTACTCTTTTCATTTAATCTATTATATTATATCATACATAATCTTCACTTGCCTTTATTTGTATGTATTTTATATTTTTTATTTTTATTTTGTACGCCCCCCTCTATTTTTAACTATTGTTTACCAGGGGTGTCACTTCCACTATGGAAGGTATGGAGCACTCCATACCTCAAGTTTTTCAAGGTATGGAATTCCATAGCTGAAATTAGGAAATAAATCGCATATTACTACAAACCCCATATAAATAAATCGCAAGCCCTTAAACCTCAATACCCCACATCTTATAGTTCAATAAATAAGTTGAGTATATACACTGCAAACTCTTAAACCTTAATACCCCACGAGTAATGCGAACAAATTTGAAAATCGCGCCACCATTTTCCATACCTCAGATTTTTACAAAGTGACACGCCTGTTGTTTACATCAGTTCTCTACACTAAGGTTGTCTGGAAGAAATCACTTTCAGAGTGATAAGACCGCCTGTTGTACATTATCTAATTTAGATTTAATTGTATTCGTTTTTGTTTTGTTTTTGGTGTACAATCAAGAGTAAATAAATAAATAAATAAAACACTTGGCAATCACATAGCGATAATAACGAAGTAAATAATAACACGTTTACGCGTGTGGGATGCCCCCTAGCTATGTGGAGTGAAGTCGAAGATCGGGCTAAGTGGCGCGCCTTATGAAAGACCATGTCCAGCAGTGGGCTGCCGCAGGCTGATGGTAAAATAATAACGCGAGCGTTAATAATGCACATGCAATAAATTGACAACTTTCAAGTTGCTGAAGTTGAACGTCTTTAACGCAAGTGCGGTTAAATAATTAACTGACAACGGCTGCCACATCGCTCCACATTTTTCAATCCGATGACTCACAAAGAATGAAAAGGCATTTTTCAGCGGCACGTGAAACTTTTATTTCTATGGCATTAAATCTATCGCAAAGTGAAGAGCACGATGAAATCCTGAATTTATCGTCATTCTCAGTCACTGGAGCTCTCTAGAGGAAATTTGAAACATGCTTATGTTATTAACTTTTCATTGTTTTATTCTTTACAAAGGAAAAGAATTAAGAAATATTTATAAGTTTATAATAATAAAGCTTTTAAGTTATTTTTAAATAAATAATATAAAAATATTTACTTATAATTCTAAAGTGATTGACTTATTACCAATTCTCTATAAAGGATTTTATACCTACTTTAGATTTGATTTAATTATGGTATAATAACCAACAAGGGTATGATATTAATTGTTACTTTTTTCGTACACTGATTTTTTTACTAATACTCCTGGTATTAATATTTTTAGGGGGCAAATGAGCATACGGATCACCTGATGGTAAGTGACTACCACCGCCCATGAACAACTGCAACATCAGGGGAACAGCAGATGCATTGCAGGCCTTTTAAAAAAGAGTAGGCTCTTTTCCTTGAAGGTCCCTAAGTCGTATCAGTCTGGAAAAATTGCTGGTGGTATTCGATTCCACAAGAAAGTTGTGCGAGGACGAAAACCTCTTGTAAATCACACAGTAGTGGACCGCCAATCATCCAGATGGTATAATATTTATACCATTACTTATATTCTTTTTTTACTTAATTTCAGTCTGATTTCGAAAAAATCTTATCCCGATGAATTTGCTTTAAAAAAATTGTCTGAAGTTTAAAAAGAAAAATATTGATAGATTTAATATTTTGCAGCTACAGCGTAATTTAAAACGAGCAGCGATGAAAACAAGTTGACCGGTTCGAGAAGTTCTTAACAACTCTAAGACTCCTTGCTGAAATCTCGCCTCCGACACTAAAACGCTTAAGCGTCCAACATTACATTACAAAGGCGGACACTTAGTTCTTTCGTTTTATTTGACTCGACGTCAAAATATTACGAAGTTGGTTTAATCTTTCGGTGTATGAAAAGAATATAAAATGTATCGTGAGCCATTCAGTGTAGTGTTACAAGCAAGGAAAATGAATGATTAATTCATTTAATTTTCAGTAGTTTATAATTAGCCTAGGGAAAAAAATCCTAATCAATTTAAAAATATATAATTTTATATATTTATATATCATTTTATAGGATTGAAGATTTTTTTTTCATATCACTCGTGTAATGTATGACTTGAAAAGACATAAGAAATAAAAAGATTTGGCCCAATTAATTCAGGCTTTCGGTTTTCCGCCAACCCGCCTGCCAAGCGTGGCATCTAAGAGAAATCCCTCTATGAGGCAACATATGGGGGAGGCCATGTTTAGCAGAGGACTTTTAATAGGCTGTTTTGAAAGTCATACTTCTAGCAGACAAGAAAAGCAGGAAAGAAACATTGAACTATAATGTACGTTAATTCAATGAAATAAACGAGAAATATTAAAGAGTAGTGATCCGCCCCGTTTCGCTGGGGTGATTCTTGGATCTCGACAAGAGCTCCACCAACCGGGTCGAACTGTGAATCGCTTTGATTATCCAGGGACCCACACAAACACACTCAAAAAACTTTATCAAAATAGGTCGAGCCATTTTCGAGTTTTAGCGAGACCAACGGATAGCAATTGGTTTTTATATATAGGGATAGATATATAGATATAAAGAAGATGTAGAAGATAAAACAAGCGACTACGTTTTATTTCGACGGAACTACCGTCGAGTATGCCTCGTACTACTAGCCACATCTACTATTAATCTTGGGGAAGATGTTTAAAATTGGACAATCGAAATATATTCACTATACTGAAACGTGTTCCAACAACCATTATGATAAGAATGTTTGCATCAACATACATTAATCCGTCTGATAATCTCATAAACGTATAACACGTAGGAGTAGCGTCGCGAAACAAGCCCGGAATTACCGCCGGCGAGATGAACTAAACATCAATATTACTTACTTTAAAGGCAACCCTACGCGCGATCACTGGGTAACCTCTATAAAATGTATGTTTTTATTAAACATTCGACGGTTGGGTCAACGCTCTTATTTTAACAAACAAAGTTCTCTGTTGATATTTATAAATTGCTTTCCCATTTACTAAAAGTTAAGTGGAACAGAAAATTCTCAACAAGTATAAGACGCTCGTACTTAATGATTCCTAGTCCACCCAAGTGGAAAAGTTTAAAACACGCAAAATTAGAAGAGATAGATAAAGATCGCTTGTGCATTTTTAACACGCTTGTGCTACTAAGTTGCTATATTAATAGTCCAAACATGCCCGCGATATGGATATTTCATGATATTCAAAAGTAATGCATAACAGACTAAATGATTATACCTTGAAATTGCTAATCTGCCAATAGTCTTTGTAAATATAGCAATTTATATCCGGCAAAAAAACGCATATTTTTGACCTAAATTTCGGTAAGCGATTGAAAAAATATTAAAGACTATAAACATTTGGGTTGATCTCAATTATTTTAAAAACAGCATATTATTCTTTTTACACTTTAAATACAGGGTAATAAATACCAGTATATTAAATTTCACACTTAAAAGAACGCAACAGTAAAATAGTAATAGTCTTAAAACACAAAACAGACGACTCCCGAGGGAAAAATTAATTTTCTTCTTTTTTTTGCGAGCGCAGATTATGGCGCGGCAGAGAATTTTGAGGCTCGTTAATTCGCAATCGCCGCCACAGGGAATTAGAGTTGACTAACGATTAAAATAATAGTGAGCTACTACGTGTTTTAAATTGCATCCTATTTGAGAAATGGCGCGATGGTTTTAAATTCAAAGTTTTTAAATATATATTTTTTTTTTCGATATTTGGCCGAAATTATTTCTTCTAATTCTTTTTATTTGCCATCATGGATGCTACGCGAGCGTTTTCTAAAGTTTCCGATACTCCCTCTTCGCATCTTATCTACTATACGTTCAGCCGGACAAAGGATAAGATTGAGTTCCATTTACTTTTGCTCTGAATAGGTAGTAGTTTCAAATAAAAATATATCCATATGAAAAATATTTGTGCTTAAATCGCAGGAATTTCATAAGTAACAAAAACTAATGCGTTGTAAATATTTACACATTCATAAATAAATATTTGTCGCACATTTTTATCTATTTAAATATTCTTAGTCAATGCAATAGGTAAATATTCTGCATTGCAAAATATTGGTACAGGTCATATGAAAATAAAACGAAAAAATATTAAAACAACACTTCCATAGCTCCTATAAAAATGTACCATCTAAAGCAGAAATCTGATAAACTCAAGCGCCGTGAAAGTTTTGTGGATAAGTGATTATAAATGCGTAACGACATAAAAACATTATGAAGTAACAAACCCAAAAAATAATTATTACAGTCAAGAACAGCGATGAGAATTTGACGTTAAGTTAACTTTATTATGTCAAACGGAAACGATAATTAAATAAAAGGACAATTAAAAAAAAGAGGATTCAGTTAGGCTGGTCAGCATTTAAAAAGCTCTGTCGGGTTTTCTTGTCGCCCATACCGCAAATTCTGAAGATAAGTCTTGAACCAGTGCGTCCTACTTGTACTCACTTACGGTGCCGAAACGTGACCCTGACGATACGGCTACTCCACAAGCTCAAAGTCGCTCAGCGAGCGATGGAAAGAGCTATGCTCGAAGTTTCTGTGGTGGATAAAATTCGAAATACGAAATCCGCCGGAGAA